AATTAATAATAGAAGGGCACATTTGTTAACTTGTAATAGTAGAAGGGTATAAAATGCTATTAACCCAATGAATAAACAAACAATTAAATAAATAAATAAAGTTGGTTTCATCCTTACTCAATTTCCCTGAGCTCGTCGAAGAAGTCAAGGTCATAGACATTGTGAATCCCGGCGAAATGCACGATCCCGCTCAGCCGGTGGCGCTCCAAATGCTTCAACGCCAAATTCCTCTGGTGCTCCAGCTCCACCTCCGCCTCCGCCGCCGTGAAGTTCTCCCTGTACTCCAAATGCCTGTACATCATCCCCGTCGACCTCAGCATCTCCGACACCTCGTTCTCCTTCCCCGACGGCGACTCCATGTGCTCCACCACCACCCACAGCACCGGCGGCGGGACCAGCCTCAGCGTGTTCGCCAGCCGCCGGAGATTCACCCCTTGGTGCGGGTCCCTGGCGTTGGTGGGCGTGATTATGATGATTAGCCTCCTGGGAGTGAGTTTCGATTTCGAACCCAACTCTGCCGCCCCCGTGAACTCCTCTGTTTTCACCTCTTCGAAATGCGTGGGCAGTGGTTGTCCATCGTCGGAGCTTGACCCGGGTAGCTGTTGGGGGATCAACTTACGGCTCTTGTTGATTCTGCCGCCGCCCGCAGTGGAACGGAGGGATGCGATTTGGGAGGAGTGGGGCGTTGCTGCAGATGAGGTGTTCGATAAAATTACTGAACGAGTTGCTGCGGATGTTGTTGGGGCTTTACTACCCGTGGGGGCAAACCCAGTGAAGAAGCCCATGACGAAGCAGAGGGCGAAGTGGACGGCAGCTTTCTTCCACAGCTGCACCTTCTTCTTGGGTCGTTCTGAAGAACCCATAAATGGAGTTCTTGGAACTCAGATGTAGGAAGGGAAGAAGAAGAAGGAAGAAGAAGATGAAGGCAACTGGGTAAGAGGAATTGGGCCGTCTGTGTGTAGCAATTAATATGACAACAATCGTCAAGCTTGCACAAAGTATGATGATCCCAATTTTGTTACTAATTGTGAAGGGTGTGGGGATGATATGCAAACTGCTGAATGATGGGAGAGCTCAATCCATCCACCCCGTGGAAATGGAGAAATATATTTGATGGGGTTGAGGGTTTTGATTGGGTGAGAGACCATTGCTTCCTACAGTTGTCGCTTCAAGTGAAAGGAAACTAATAAGAAAAACATAGCTTTCTGCACCAAATAGTTGTTGGGGATGGAATGGAACCCATCAACTTACATTTTTGTTCTGGTAAACAAATCTTGTTTGATTATTGTATCTGTGGCTATGTGCAACAGCAAAAGGGAAGACCTTGGAGAGTTGTAGTGGCTTCAATAATACCTCTCTTTTGCTTATTTTTTTAAAGTTTACCCGTAACCAGAATATAACGCACCAACAGCTCATCTTTAATCCAGCCCACCACAATTTCTTAGGACATGTTTGGTGTTTGTAATTGTTACAATGTACTTATTGATGGAATGCTTCAATTATATATATAAACTGGTGTATTGTTTCAACTTTCAATGGATGTATTATAACATTATCATTTTTGGTGATTGTGAATTTGTGATTGTTATTTAGAAAATGAAATGAGTAAAAAGTATTTTATGGGTAAATGATAAGTTTGGTTACTAAAAATATTTTATTTCATTCGTGGTCACTTCCGGACTAGTTTACTATTTAACCTAAATAATGATTGAGTGTATTCTAAATTACTAGAGCAACTACCGGGTGTTTTGGTTCGAGCATAGGAGAGTTACCTAGGTGTATTCTAAACTCTATTTATAGTGTTTATCACTCTCATATTTGATATATGTTCTCCTTCTATCAATACATCTTTAGTACTTTCTCATCAATTTCATATCTACCTTGTAACTATTTGATCAATGAGCATTTTATAGACCTAGGTTTTTGTTTTGTTATTTTATTGTGTGTTTTTTGTATGTTTTTGTGCTTTTCAAGGTTAAAGACAACCTAGGAGGATTTGGATAAAGTATTGGATGACTATAGAGGACCGAATGAACTAACAAGAGAAGAATATGGAGTTTTCATACAAAAGATGAGGTTCAATGACGAAGAATCCTACTAGTAACCACGAGAAGAGCCCAAGAGGATCCCAATGTAAAAGACTCGCCCCAAACATGATCAAGAATCAGTAGCAACCCAATGTCAGGTCCAATCTCCGGTCAAGCAGACCTGGTCAAACCACGGAGAAATCTTAAGGAGATATTGCTTATGAGCCATGGAGTCCATACCACGAAGAAAACTAGTGGCAGTTCCAGCCGCCACATCAAGTCCAATCCCAAACATTGATCTTTAGGCTTGCTTCGACCCCAAATTAGAGATACCTTATCCTAGTTGGGTTATGAAGGTTTTGGCCGAGTTCTACCACTATAAAGAGGGGGTTGGAGTCATTAGTTCAATAAGTTGCACAATTCCATTCAAAACTTAGGTAGACACTCTGTTCGAGTGAGAGCTTAGCATTCGCATGAGAAGTTCCATCTAAGGAGATGCTTTCATAATCGATAGTAGTACCACATTCTCTTCTATGTATAGCTAGTTCGAAGTTGATTGTATAGGAACGTGAACTCGTTTATTTATATATGTATTGATGTTATGATTTCATATTATGCTTGTGTTGATGCTTATGATTTTCAATGCCTATGTTTATGCATTGATGCTTTAGTTTGCAATGTCTATGCGTTGGTTATCGATGCTCATTTAGCTCAATACTTTCTTATCATCGATGCTTATGATTATATAGTATACTACTATATGCATTGTGCTTATTATCATGTATGTTGTTAAGAGATTACCCTCTAGTGATACCCCATTAATGTTGTACGTGTATAGAGGGAATGATCAACCATCTATACCTCGAGTAGTATCAATGCTTGATTTTTAGATCATTCATGCTATATACCATCAAGTATGGCTCAAGAGGCCCACACTTAATCATATGCTATCATTACTTATATGTTCTTCATTGATTAGGTGATGGCATGAAGCGAAAGCATACATTAGCTAGTCAAGTTCTTATTTCATCAGGCGAAAGCTCGAGTAGGATGGCCTTAGTAGAAGGGATAGAGTAATGTTATGGATGAGCCATTGATGCATGATATGAATGAGTGTTGATATGTGTGTTGAACTCGAGTATGCTTTCTATTCAATAACGTATCTTTACTTTTATGCATCTATATAACTTGAAAAACGAGTTTTTTAAATTTTCATTGATTATTCTACTTCTTTGTTTTGCTCGACTAAAATCCCTAAAAGTCTTTCTTGTTCAAGCATGGATGGTATGGCATGAGTAGTTATACATTAGACGACTTTATCGAATACGATCCTAGGGCATTCTAGGATTTTTATCACTTGCATGTTTGTTGCACCAGGGTCACAGGTCGGGTTAGTGTTTATGACGTGACAGGTTTTATGATGTAACAGGTCGGGTTTTAATTTTTCTAGGTTAAAATTAGGTGATTAGGTGTTTCCATTAGCCACGTCAACAAAAAATTAACACTGTTAATGGAGACTGACGGAAGGTAACAGAGAATGACCAAACTTAAAATATTCCACTAATCTTAGCAACCACAAAAAAATAAAATATTTTTAGTTACCAAACGAAAAACATTTTAGTAATACTAGTAACAAAACTTGCAATTTACCCATTATATATAATAATGGGAAACTAAATGTTTCTTTCCCCTTCCTCTAAAACATTCGATCATTAGACCATCTCTAGTGGCCAGTGGAAGTGCCACAGAGCTAGACATTGTTTGGTACTTTTGCACCCAAAAGTGGTTTTTTCTCCAATAGGAAGTTTTAGAGTGCCAAAATTTCATTTTTTAGCTAATGTAGACATGTACTTTAGTGTAGATTTGATACCTTTAATTAGATAGTTTGTATATCATTTGTATATAGGTAATAATAATAAATTAAGATGAACACTTTGATGTCATTTTTTAATTCGTACATTAAAAAAATTGGCGTTAAATATGATGTAATCAATAACGAAAGAACAATAATTGGCTCGGATAACAATAGACTCATCACATGTTTATCAGATTGAGTTGTGTCATCAACTATTCATTCATATTTAATGAGATTGGGTTGTGTTCAACTGTTCATTCAGCTTTAGTCGAAAAGAGTTGTGCCATCAATTATTCATTCAACTTTGGCCATTATTGCATAATGAATTATTTCGTGTCTCTACAAATGAACCCTAAAACTTAGTCATTCTACTCATCCAACATTCAATCTTCTTTCTTGAGAAAGAAATCATCCTTCAGTCATCCCTCTAGCCACTAAAAACTCTTTAGCGCTCATGGATTCCCCTGGTAGAGAAGTTGATGATAGGCAATGGAAGTATGAGTGTCAAGTTGAGCGTGAACGTATAGCGATGTTCATGATGTACGAAACCCATATGCACCAACATAAAGCAACGTCATCTCAACATAGTTCATCATCATAAAAATCAATGAGGCGTAACAAAAAAGACAGGCACAAAGCGCAAGCAAGATTATTTTAACCCAAACCCAACATATGCTGCTAAGGCCTTCACAAGACGATATCATATGCCCCCTACCTCATTCAATCGAGTCATGAATGATCTTATTCCATACGATTGCTACTTCAGGCAAGGGAAAATGGTAAGACATACGATAAATGGTATTACTTGGATGATAGAACTTATCCTCGGTGAACTACAGTTGTGAAGACTATTGGCAATCCAAGTAACTAGAAAAAGAAATTGTTTGCAAAGTACCAAAAGGCTTACCGCAAGAATGTAGAGAGATCCTTTGGCATATTACAAAAAAAGTTGGGCCCTTGTTAGAAGGCCGCGTAATCTTTGGAATGTACAGTCACTTCGTATCATTATGTTAGCTTTTATTATTTTACACAATATGATAATGGAAAATCAGCGGTACGAGATAGGGTGCATATGATATGTTAGCTTTTAAATATACATCTAATAAGTTAACTTTACCCAATACTGGGAATCAAAAGAATTGATTCCAATCAAGCAGTCAAACCATCCAATCTACAGAAACCTCAACCGACCCCACTGCTCCACATGCTTCAGCAGCCAAGCATTGGTGTAGAATGTGGGTATTTGATCAGTAATCAAATCAACGCACCTGCTATACTTGTATCAACATCTAGCGAAGCTACTAGCACATCATATCATCACAAATCTGGAAGCCATCACAATTGAGATACGAAAATGCCTTAATTAAAACAAAACCATAATCCGAACACATAACTCGTTCGCAAAACTGCTTAACATCCAATTGAAAACGAAATCAGCTGGTGTCTAGAAACATAACAGAAACAGAGTACTTTACTAAAGAAAACCGCAACACAGCAAACACCCCCTCACTTCTTCTTGGCAGCAGCCTTGGTGACCTTGGCGCCAGTTGGATCCTTCTTCTCCACAGCCTTGATGACACCAACGGCAACAGTCTGCCTCATGTCCCTCACGGCAAACCTCCCAAGAGGTGGGTACTCGGAGAAGGTCTCCACAACCATGGGCTTGGTGGGAATCATCTTCACGAACCCAGCATCACCGTTCTTCAAAAACTTGGGCTCCTTCTCGATCTCCTTGCCAGATCGCCTGTCAATCTTGGTCAAGATCTCAGAGAACTTGACAGCAATGTGGGAGGTGTGGCAATCCAGCACTGGGGCATATCCGTTTCCAATCTGGCCAGGGTGGTTCATGATGATCACCTGGGAGGTGAAGTTGGCAGCTTCCTTGGCAGGGTCGTCCTTGGAGTTGGAGGCAACGAACCCACGCTTGAGATCCTTCACTGCAACATTCTTCACGTTGAACCCAACATTGTCACCAGGGAGTGCCTCCTGGAGAGCTTCATGGTGCATCTCAACAGACTTGACCTCAGTGGTCAGACCAGTTGGACCGAAAGTTACGACCATACCGGGCTTGATGACACCAGTCTCAACCCTGCCCACCGGCACAGTTCCAATGCCACCAATCTTGTACACATCCTGAAGTGGGAGACGGAGGGGCTTGTCTGTGGGCCTCTTGGGCTCGTTGATGTTGTCAAGAGCATCAAGAAGAGTTGGGCCCTTGTACCAGTCAAGGTTGGTGGACCTCTCAATCATGTTGTCGCCCTCAAACCCAGAGATTGGAACGAATGGGACCTTGTCAGGGTTGTACCCAACCTTCTTCAAGTAGGAAGAAACCTCCTTCACAATTTCATCGTACCTGGCCTTTGAGTACTTGGGGGTGGTGGCATCCATCTACAAAACACAACAAATTCATTAGGAATCTTCAACCACAATTGACACATCAAGTCAATGTATTCAAACAACTAATTCATCTGTTACCTTGTTGCAGCAGCAGATCATTTGCTTCACACCAAGTGTGAAAGCAAGAAGAGCATGCTCACGGGTCTGGCCATCCTTGGAGATACCAGCTTCAAAACCACCGGTGGTGGAGTCGATGATGAGGACAGCACAATCGGCCTGGGAGGTACCAGTAATCATGTTCTTAATGAAATCACGATGTCCGGGGGCATCAATCACTGTGCAGTAGTACTTGGTGGTCTCAAACTTCCAGAGAGCAATATCAATGGTGATACCACGCTCACGCTCAGCCTTGAGCTTGTCCAGCACCCAGGCGTACTTGAATGACCTCTTGTTCATCTCAGCAGCTTCCTTCTCGAACCTCTCGATCACACGCTTGTCAATACCTCCAAGCTTGTAGATCAAGTGACCAGTGGTTGTCGATTTGCCAGAGTCGACATGGCCAATGACAACGATATTAATGTGAACCTTTTCCTTACCCATCCTGAAGTTTGGTAAAGAAGCTGAAATCATTCAAAAGCAAAAACAGATTAGGCTATAACAGACACCACATACTAAAAATAGCAGAACAGGATCCAAGATATAAACTGAATCATCAAGCGTCAATAACAACAAGCATACTAAAGCATCAATTCCAGCGAATATTTTGACTATGGGTAGTAAAAATTCAGTCCAATAGATCCTTAATTATTGACAGTAGGTTCCAATTCAAACACACAGTTTTGATAAACAAGGTGGCTGCTGGGTTTCGAGCCCAGGTCTCCACAACGAGGTGTGGGGTTTACCAATAAACTACAGCCACTGAATAGACTCAGAAAAACCGTGTGCAAATCCAATCCACGCATCTCCTTCACAACCACTGCCGAAGATGGTGCAAGATTTGGATTCAAGCACACCGATAATAGATTTTATTAGGTTTAAAACCAGAGATTCATTAACCAGAAAGAAACATCTAACTCATACACAAACTTCGACAAACGAATTGACATAAGAGCACCTCTGTACATAAAAGAGAAACATACAAATCAGATCTAAACCCTAAATCCACCAGCACAGGTAGAGATCCGAATTCGATATACCTTAACGGACGAAAACGTACCGAGAAACAGAAAAATTGCAGAGAAGTCTAGCAGCTACAGATTTAACACAGAACAAGAATTGCGATAGGAAAAATCATGCAAAGAAACACGAGGAGCTGAAGGGAGAAGGAATCGAACCTGAAACGAAGACGGGAGCTCTGGTTGTGAGTGAGGTGTGCTCTCCCGCAGTCGCAGTATCCAAAGGGCAGAGAGTTAAAGAGCAAGCGCAAGAGGAGGATGAAGGGAGCCTCTTACTTCAGTTTAAGTAGGCTCAGGGTCAAGACCTAAAGCCTTGGGTCGAATTAGGTTTTCTGTTACAGCCGTTGGATTGATTTATCTCGACGGTCCGGATTAGTTCCGTCCGAGCCGTCCAGTGCGCTGATTTTTCTCATATCGCCTAATTGGGATCCTAGTCGGCGGCACGTCACCCGCAAGATTTAAAATTCCGTGGTGGGCAAGTTTGAGAACCGGCCCGTGCTTGGTCCATTAAGCTAAAAGCCCAAGAAAGGACAAAGCTGTTAAGCCCAAAGGATGTTCTTTCTTTCCGTTTGTTGGTTGTATTGGTAACAGAACGGCTCATTTTGTGGGCACTTTAGTTAGGGGTGTTCAAACGGTGTGGTTATCATGATAATTGTTTTAACTAGTATTATGTGGGGGCTAAGGTTCTGGTGGTGGAAAAGTGTAGTGTCACAAAAAAAATGCTCTGTGGCGATTGGTTTTCCCGACTCAATCGCGATAATCGCAATTTTGTAGTCGCCGTTTCCTCGGCGCCTGAACTTTCGGCACCACGATCTAGTGTACGATCATGGGGGTCATTGCTGCCACGGGAATCCCCCGTGCTTTGCTCATGCAACTGCCGTTCTTTTTGGGTAGCTATTTATATGAACGAGCAGTGGTTTCTTTTCCGCTGCTATGTTCAGTTAAGGTCTGGGTCTTTCATGTTTCATCTTCTCAATATACTTGTATTCTCCAGTCTCTCTCTTGCTTTGGTGTGGTTCTTCAATTGGTTGTCTCGCCAATCCATTCGTCAGTTGGTTGTTAGCATGGATCCAATGGATATAGATCAAGTTGTTGATTTTGCGGATGCGGATGTTGACATTGACCCGGCTCAGGCGCAGATCAGTTTAATCGGTCGTCTATTTGCTCTGCGTCCATTAACTCGTCTGTCGATTGAGAATGTGGCTAATGGAATGTGGGGGACTGATCGTTGTCCGATCATTGTGCATGAGGCTGATAACGGCCTATGGAGATTCATTGTTGTGGATGCTCATATTCGGGGTCGGATTCTTCGCCGATCACCATGGACGGTTAAGGATTTTATTCTGCATCTCCTTCCTTGGGCGCCACCATCCGCTGCACTGGTAAGGGATCTAGCCCGTGTTCCTTTCACTGTTTATATGTCTAAGATCCCTCAACATCTTTGCACTTTGAATTTGGGTCGGCGGTTTGCTAACCATATGGATGGTGGGGTGCCTGATCGGGAGATTGGTTTGTATGCGGATCATCCTGGTCAAAGTGAGGTTTTTATCAAGGCTAAGGTGTTTATTGATGCTGACGCTCCTCTCCGTTCTCGGCTGTTTGGGCAGAATGAGAATAGGGCTGGTTTTTGGGCGAAACTTGACTATGAGTATCTTCCCTTGTTTTGTTTCCACTGTGGCCGCCTGGGTCATGGTGAGGCTCAATGTCATTTTGCCCCGCCGCCACCTGGTTCTGAAATTTATGATGCTTCCATGTCTGTGACACCTCATGGCTTTCTTCTGAACGAGCATACTCTTCTGCCGGAGGGTCATTTGGTGGTTCCTCGCCGTGGTAGGGGCAGGGGACGGTTTAGTTGGATCAATCCTAGGACTCGCCAAGCGCAGGGTCGTGGTCGGAGCAATATGAATTGGTCCAGGGCTCATTCTGCAGATCCAGATCCTTGGCAACATCAGACGGTTTATGCTGGTTCGGAGGGTCTCCCAGCAGGAAGAGGCGTTCAGGGTAGGACTTCGGGTCCTTCTGTTCCCGGAGTTGGTGTTTTGAATCCCCTCCCGTTGCGTACCATTCTGCCTGCTGTTCGTATATCAGAAGTGGAGCATGATTCTATTCCTACTCGACCAGCTATCTCGGTTGTTGAGGGGAAGGGGAAAGGCAAAATGAAGGTACCTGATGCTGAATCTGACTCGGATGAGGATGTTGATTTTGGAGCTTCATCTTCTGTTCGTCGCCCAGCATTTCGTATGTTCTTAACTGATGCTGAGATGGAGGTTGATTACAACAAGCGATCCTTTGATGAGATGAATATTGACCCACCTCAACTGCAAGTTTCTCCTGCTGTGCTCCGATTGGAATCTGGGCAACCTCATCAAGAGGCGAATGTTTCTGAGATGCTTTCTGAAGATCCGCCAGCAAAACGACTACATCTGGATCCGACAGCTACTGATACTCTGGGACCTGTGGAGGAAGCCAGCAGTGAGTGGCCCCAACCCCCTCAATGACGATTATGGCTTGGAATTGTCAAGGTTTGGGTCCCATCTTGACAATTCAGAATTTGGAGGATCTTGTTCGTGTTTATAGTCCGTCTGTTTTATTTCTTTCTGAAACTAAGAATAATCGTTTGTTTGTCGAGTCTACTATTAGGTCGTTGGGTTTTGTGGATTGTCACATTGTGAATCCTATTGGTTTGGCAGGGGGTTTGGTTGTGGCCTGGACCTCTGTGGTTGCTGTTTCTGTTTTTTGTTCGGATTCATTTTATGTCTCTGTAAGACTTGGTTTGAATGGATGTGATTATATAATTATATTTGTTTACTTATCGTGTGATGATTCTATTCGGCTAGCGCAATTTCGTTACTTAACTAGATATTGTGCGTTATTAGCGGTTCCTTTTATGGTTGTTGGAGATTTTAACATGTTATTGAATTCCGCTGAGAAAATTGGTGGTAGGGATCTTGATCTTTCTCGGGTTTTGCCTTTTCGGAAATTTGTTGATGATTTGGCTCTTATGGATATTGGATTCAGTGGTCCACGTTTCACTTGGTCAAATAAGCATTCGGATGGTTCTGTTATTTATAGTCGTTTAGATAGATGTTTATTTTCTGGAGAGTGGATTCAGAAGTGGCCTCTTGGCCATGTCGAGCATCTTTCTGATCAAGGTAGTGATCATCGTGCTTTGCTTTATCGTTGGTCAATGGATCGTGTTCGAAGTAAGCCGGTTTTTATGTTTGATGCTCGTTGGAGCAAAATGGATGAAGCTGAGGCCATTGTTGCTTCTGCCTGGGGATCAGCCGCCCATGGTTCTCCATTCTTTCAATTATGGACTAGGTTAAAATTAGCTCGGCAACGCTTATTCCATTGGTCTCGGAAAGGTACTTCTAATTCTGCGCGGCGGATTCGAGCTTTAAAGTCAGAATCCCATCAAATTAGGAATGTTTATCCGGTTGATTGGGATGAGGTTTCTCGCGTTGAATCAGAATTGGCTGCTGCCTGGCGAGCAGAAGAGTTTTATTGGAAGCAGCATTCCCGGGTTAATTGGCTTCAACGTGGCGATCGGAACACAAATTATTTTCACACTGTTACTCGTGTTCGGCGTAGGAAAAATAAGATTCAAGGGTTGTATAATGACGTTGGACAGTGGGTCACTAATGAAGCAGATAAGCATCAGGTGTCTATTGATTTTTACAAACATCTATTTGCCTCTGCAGATTTGTCTGCTGCTTATTCGGCCCGTGTGCAGGCTAGAGTTGCTGCTCTTCCTTTTCCGCGTCTTGTGTCTAGTGAGATGAATACTCATCTTCTTGCTCCTGTTTCTCCGGCTGAGATCAAAACCACAATTTTTAATATGGGTGAATTTTAGACTCCTGGTTCAGATGGGTTTACAGGAAACTTTTTCAAGTCTTTTTGGCATATTGTGGGTGACAGTGTTATCAAGGCTATCTCTTCTTTCTTCGTTCGTGGTAAGTTACTACGTAACTTCAACCACACGTGGTTAACTTTAATTCCAAAAGTAGAGGTGGTAGAACGTGTTTCTCAACTGCGGCCGATTAGTCTCTGTCAGTTTCTATACAAAGTAATCACTAAGATTATTGCCAACAGGTTAGGATCTTTGCTTCCTTCTTTGGTCTCAGAAGAGCAGAATGGTTTTGTTCGGGACCGTCAAATTATTGATAACGTTCTAATTGCTCATGAAGTCACTCATTTTGTGAAGAATAAACGTCAAGGGAGGGAGAAATTTATGGCGTTAAAACTGGACATGGAGAAAGCTTATGACAGGATCGAGTGGCCTTTTTTGTTTGCTCTGCTTTCTAGATTGGGTTTTGCTCCTCAATGGATTGGGTGGATCCGTGAATGTGTTACTACTGCGTCCTTTTCAGTGATGATGAATGGGCAGCCTTCTGGTTATTTTAAGTCTACTCGTGGTCTCCGTCAGGGTGATCCTCTCTCCCCATTGTTATTTGCCCTTTGTACAGAAGGTTTTACTGCTTTGATTAAGCAAGCGATTCATCGGCATGAGATTCATGGAATTAGGATTCACCATTCTTGTCCTCCTATTTCTCATCTTTTATTTGCTGATGATTCTTATTTGTTCTTGAGGGCTTCAAGGAGGGATTGCTCTGCTTTGATTCAATTACTTCATGAGTATGAATCTTTAAGTGGTCAGCGAGTAAATCTGCAGAAGTCAGCAGCCTTTTTTAGCCCTAATCTTCTTCAGCCGGATCAGGAGGAGTTAAGCTCAATTCTGGGGGTGGGTTCTTTTGGATTGCAGGATAAGTACCTGGGGTTGCCTTCGCTTATAGGTCAATCCAAGGTTGATACTTTTCGGTTTGTGGAGGAGAGGTTGTTAGAGGTTCTTCATGGGTGGAAACAGCGGGCCTTATCCGCAGCTGGGAAGGAAGTACTTCTGAAAACAATAGCCTCGGCCCTTCCGATTTATGTAATGTCTTGTTTTCGCCTCCCTTCTGAACTTATTCGTAGATTAAATGCACATATGGCAAGGTTTTGGTGGGGAGCTACTCAGACTCATCGTCGCATTCATTGGCGTTCTTGGAAAGGCTTATGTGCTAGTAAATTTGAAGGGGGACTAGGTTTTCGAGAGTTTGGTTGTTTTAATCAAGCTCTTCTGGCTAAAGTGGCGTGGCGAATTCTCCAAGAACCTAATTCTCTTCTAGCTCGAATATATCGTGCTCGGTATTCATTTGGTTCAGATTTTCTCTCTATTTCGGCGAGAGGGTCTGCTTCCTGGGATGGCGTAGCATTCTTTTTGGCAGAGATCTTCTTCTACAGGGTTTACGGTGGCAAGTTGGCGCAGGGGATTCTATTAGAGCTTTCAGCG